GCTGAGACCATGGGCTATAAAAACGGTGCTTTTAGTTTTTTCATCAGATGATGAGATCATATCACAATTTTCAGTTGAATGTTGAAATGATGAATATGTCACGTATGTCCTATTTGTCAAACTTAAACGTTAGCAGTGTCCTCGTATTGAAATTATGTAAGGAAACCCTTTTACTTTCTTGACTTTACTCTCAGACACTAGTGAGTGACTGACTGACATCTTTTTTTCTCTGGTAATAAAATACATAAAATGAGCGTTATAGAGAACATGAGCATTCGGCTACATTAATAACCCACTCTGTTCTCATTGTTCATTTCCTATTCAAGACTTGAATAATGACGAACTTCATTCAATATTTGGTAGTAATACTACAGATACTTATACTGATATCAATGATTTAAACTATTTATCCGAAAAAGAATATGAGTTTCATTTCAGTAGGTTTCTGAACTGTAAATATTATATTGATGAGGATTTTACGACTGAATTCAGTAACATTAACTATCATTTTTAGTATTTTACATTTTAATTCGCGTAGTTTAAACATACATTGTAATGCTTTATCCAATTTCATCTGTACTTATGTATAGAAACTTGGGTTAATGATAGTACGCCACTATTATTCAATGTATCCGGTCATTCATTTATACAATTTAATCGCCAAGTACAAAAGAGTGGAGGTGTTGGTCTATTGGTCGCTGACAATTTTGAATATGAAATACGCAATGATATATTTATATTATACCCATCATACAACTATGAATCACTGTTTATTGAAAGCAATTTGCCGAGACATAAGAATATTATTGTAGGTGTCATATATAGGAAACCCCAATCAAATATCAATGATTTCATCCCTGTCTTTGAAAATGTTTTACAAAAAACACATACTGAACATAAACAGGTTTATATAATGGGAGATTTTAACATTGATCCCGTGAAATTTACTGGCAATGCTGTATGTAATTTCTTGAGCGAAATACATTCAAATCTTTGTATTCCTTTAATTGACAAGCCTTCAAGAAAGACTGACGGATCAATATCCCTCTAATCCACATTCCTTATACAGTGACAGTATATATCCATCCGATATTTAAAGATTTTATTTTCAAGCAACTAGTGAATCTCACGTCGACAACTCAAAATGATCGCTAATGTATTCTCACACTTTTCATTTACGCCGGGACATCGTGACGTCATACACTATACATTTTTAATTATTCAGGCATAAGCTCTTATTTATCAATTATATTTTCATTTCTTTGAATAAGATAAAAATCGTCAAAATGCGTTCTTCATGATGTAAATTAGAGTCAAAGGTGTAACTGGTTACTGCACAGAGTCAATGGTCATATATTGTCTCAATCTATCTTCCCTATATCCATAATGATCAAGGGATCGACACAATTTAAACTTGACATATGGATAGATCATTATGGGAAGAGCATTTTATAAAATAATATGATATCTTGTAATGCATTCTTTGTTATGTAAACCAATATCATACGTATCACCTAATTCGTCTAAGTGACGAATTAAAGTCTAGTTTATTTATTATTATTCTTCCTCGAATTTGTTCGCAGGATATCTCAAGACTGAATATAGCCATTATCATGAAACTTGCCATGATGATAGATCTAAGTCTAACTTAGAACTGCATGACTTTTCAAAGACTCAAAATTATCGTGACGTCATCCAGGCGCCATTTTGTGAAAAACAACTTATGATCATATCTTCATAACGGAAAGGAAATTCTCATTTATAATTATCAGGATTAAGATCAATATCCGTCCGGTCAATTTCAGGTCAATAAATGCGCGCAAAAATGCGCGTACGCGTTAGTGCGCGCGTTAACGCGCACGTAAAATTTTAAATTGCTCAAAATCGTTTAAATTTTTTTTTACATACGTTTCAGGCCATTATAAGCATTTCATAAAAAATCGCGCAAAACACGCTTTTTGGCACGTTTTCGTTTGTCACGGCCGAACGAAAAATAATTCCTTGTATATTTGTTTTGACAGGATATTCCTCATATTTTTCTGAACAATTTGATACCATGTTCATCTCTTTACACTATTAATAACGGAACGAGCGTCCGTTGAATATAAATATCCGTGCGTGCTAGCTCATGTAATACATAGCATATATGGGCAAAAACATGCCTATAAAATGTACATCGGGATGAATAAGGACTGTCATTTTTTTTCCATATTTAGATAGAGTATGAGTCGGAGATATGATTTCATGTCTCATTTGGCCATTAAGTATATATTTACATAATCATATCGACCTTGGAATCAAAATACGAATTTGCATATTATGACGTCAACATATTTACGGAAAATGATTGTATCTCTGCAAATATTGATCAATTGTCTTCTAAATTTTGATATGTTGTAGCTGAGACAATTCTTCACAAGATTATTCCCAATATTTATTCATTTTGATGACGTCATTAGATTTTTGCTTAATATGTGTTTTATGCCTATGGGAGGTGATTGATACTACATTCCAGTCTAGACTTGTTCATTATGGTGCGTATGTAATGCGTCGAAATATCAGTTCAATGATTGGTAGGCTCTTGCAATCAGGCGAAAATTTGAGCTTGTTTAGTAAATTAATAGTTTATTCATATAACAATTCTCTATCGAATACCTGAAGGGGGCGCTATCGTCATTTAAAACCCCAAAACCATCATCATCAATTCGTCATTATCGTATTTATGAATATTATCATTAGATCATCATCGGCACACTTTCATGATACAAAAATAGCTTCGTATCACCTAATTCGTCAAAGTGACGAATTAAAGTCTAGTTCATTTTGATAACGTCATTACGGTGAAAATTGTAATTAAAGTCGACATATGTCAGATTTTTGCTTAATATGCGTGTTATGCCTACGGGAGGTGATTGATACTAAATTCCAGTATAGACTTGTTCATTATGTTGCGTATGTAGTGCGTCGAAATATCAGTTCAGTGATTGGTAGGCTCTGCAATCAGGCGAAAATTTGAGCTTGTTTAGTAAATTAATAGTTCAATCATATAACAATTCTCTATCGAATACCTGAAGGGGGCGCTATACCACTTTTAATCATGGTCATGGTCATTTAAAACCAAAAAATTATCATTATCAATATCGTCATTGTCGTATTTATGTATATTATCATTAGATCATCATCCGCAAACTTTCATGATACAAAAATAGCTTACGTATCACCTAATTCGTCAAAGTGACGAATTAAAGTCTAGTTCAATTTGTTTTTGTGATTATTTCATTGCTTATTCGTCCACTTCTGGTGGTCATGTAGGATGATGCTTGCTGGGCTGGTACGCTGGAACGCTCAGGGGTTGGTTCGCTAACATCCGCGTTGTCATCTGGATCGCTGTCCGTCTGTGTTGTCTGTTGGAACCGATCATCCCTTTGTCTGGGTGCTGGTCTGAGATGATGTCTGTTTCTTCGTCTAATCTCTCCATACTCTGTCTCTACCAAATATGATCTGTTTTGCAGTTTGACTTTGACGATGCCACCTTGTGACCATCGATTGTTGTGCATGTTTTGACCTATGTTTAGTTCAGGTAGGTCTCGAGCATGTTTATCATATCGCTCTTCCTGCTTTACCTTCTGCCATTCCTTCTTTTCCCTCACCTGTTGAGGATCGATGTGTTGTGGATCAAGAAGTTTGTCCACCATGGGCAGGTTTGATCTCAATCGCCTGCTGTACAGGAGTTCAGCTGGCGATTTTCCGCATTCTAGCGGTGAGCTTCTGTAGTCTTGTAGAGCCCTGTAGACATATTGTCTACTGTCTTGGCATTTGCGGATGAGATTCTTCACAATTTTCACTGCATTCGATCCTGCTAGTCCGTTCGACTGAGGATGATACGGACTTGTTGTTGTGTGACAGAAGTCCCAATCTTGTGCAAAGTTTTTGAACTCTTTACTAGCTAATTGCGGACTATTATCCGTCACGAGTTCAGTTGGTGTGCCTTGTCTTGAAAAGACTTCTTTCATTTTTGTTATCACTGTTTTACTTGTTGTTGTTGACAGTGGACAGACTTCAATGAATTGTGAATAGTAATCTACTATTACCATGTACTCTTTGTTATTCAGTGTGAACAAGTCTGCAGCGATCTTTTCCCACGGTCTGTTTGGTACCGTGTGTGGTTTCAGACGTTCTGTCTGTTGTTTTGGTTTATACATCAAGCATGAGTTACAATTTTGTACCATTTCTGTTATGTCTTGATTTATTCTGGGCCAATACAAAACTTCTCTTGCGCGTCTCCTGCATTTTTCTATGCCCAAATGTCCTTCATGGATCTTGTCCAACATTTTTTTTTCATTGTGCTTGGTACAACGATCCTGCTGCCTTTCATGATTAAGCCTTTGGCTTCTGACAGCTCACTTCTAATGTTCCAATATTCTCTGAATGCTACTGGACATTGTTGTTTTGTTTCAGGCCATCCATCTTTGATGATGCCTATCAATTCTTGTAGTGTTTTGTCTTTCTGTGTTTCATCTACAAACTGACTTTTTCTGTTTGATGTGACTGGTAATGTCTCTATTAGTGTGTCTACATAGATTCTGATGTCTTATTCTCTTTCGACATGCATGTCTGCCTGTGGATGTACCGCTCTAGACAATGCATCTGCGGTGTACATGTATTTTCCTGGTGTGTAGGATACTTTCAAATCATATCTCTGCACTCGGATTAGTAGGCGTTGAATGCGAAGAGGACAATCACAGAGTGATTTTTTGAACAACGGTACAAGAGGTTAATGATCTGTTTCGACTTCTACCTGTCGTCCATGTATGTATTGGTGAAATCTTTCACATGCAGACGTCATTGCTAACAGTTCTTTTTCTATCTGCGCATAGCGAGTTTCTGCATCAGTCATTGCTCTCGATGCATAAGCAATTGGGAACCAATTCCTGTCATGTTGTTGCAGTAGCACTGCACCTAGTCCATTATTGGATGCATCAGCTGATAGCTTCGTCGGCTTTGTGCTGTCATAGAAATTGAGCACTGGTTCTTGTGTCAGAGCTTCCTTGAGTTGACACCAAGCTTTTTCTTGTGCATCTTGCCACATCCACTTATTTCTTTTCTCAAGAAGACTTCTCAGCGAGGCTCACTTTGTGGATAGATCTGGTATGAACTTTCCTTGGTAGTTAATCATACCTAAGAACCTTTGAACATCTTGCTTGTTCTGTGGTCTTTCCATGTTCAATATGGCTGCAACCTTCTTTGGATCAGGTTGAACACCTTGTTCACTGATTGTTTCGCTGACGAAACTGATTTTCATTATGTTTTTTGATTCGCAGATACCGTTACGTAATTCAGTGGTCAACGTGTACGTATGTGCTAATTAATGTAAAAACCGGCAGAGCACTATTGGGGTTTCATAGAGGTGACATCTTGCGATGTTCGCCTACTAATTTTTCGTGCAGAATGCCTCATTTCACAATGAGATAATTCGTATTTCAACAGTATATCCTGCCAAGAAGTGAGTACAGCTTGGTGTGAATGTGTTTTTAGAATGTTTTATGCAGACATGAAATTATGGATGTTTTCTTATTTGTTTGAAACGAAATGGAATTTCGCTCAGTGAAAGTGTACACGTGTAAAGTTGATAGTCTTGTGTGCAGAGCATTTAATATAAAGTAGATATTTGACATGTATTTGATACATTGCTAAGAATAAGCTGTATATAAATATTAAAGGGCATTATTTTCAGGGTTTATTGTAGCACTCTTGTATTTACAATTTACAGGGAAAAGGCTGATTTGGTGGTTTATTTATGGTCGTTTTGATAGACTTTCAATTAATCATTGGTCTGAATTAAGACTAGCTTTTGGTATTGCACACGGAGCTTGTTGTTGGCTTTTCAACTACACTAAGTCTTACAAAAGGGAATTTTAGGATATCTGTTATATTCTGGTGAAGCTATTTTATGACATTCGATGAAGTCATTTAAAGGGATTTCTGTATGGGTTTTAATATGAATATTAGTGACTTGAAAAGTGTGTCACATTTGTTATGAAGGTCAAGTGGAATTATTTGACCTTGTGGTGTCATTCATAAAACCTGAATGTTGAAGAGGGATATTTGTAGAAATGTTATGAAAGATATAAGATGCCATTTTGGTCATTTAGTAGTTATATCTATATTTAAATTAGAATAGTGCTTAATTATTCATGAGAAAAAGGATATTCAGGCAGATTTGCTTGTTCTGTTATAGAGGCGACATTTATACTTGAAACTGATATGAATGAGTCCAGTTGACTTATATAATTATGAATTCTTCAATTTGTTCTTTCAGATTGAATAAAATCAGACTACGGTCTTATACGATTCCAAGCGGGATATTCTGTGTGGCTGAGTCATCTTTCTTACGAGCAATCCAACAATTCAATTTCCTACTGCTAACCTGGGATACGATAGGAAAGATGACGTCGACTGATGAAAGTAACCTGAAGTTCAAGCGAAGGGGTGCCAAGTCCAGATTCACGAGATTCGGCAAGGCTACAGAGCAACTGATAGATGGCGGCCGAAGTAGGGCGGAGGCACAGAAATCCTTTGATAAGTATGAGCAGGCATACCATGAAGTGGAAGATGCTCATGACAAGTTTACTATGACCATCAAAGACGAAGCAGAGTATGATAGAGAGGACGTCTGGATGGAAGATGTTCAGAATGATTTCTCGAAGTTACAGTGCAAGTTCATTGACTACGTCAAGGTTGATGAAAGTGCTTCGTCAAGTCCTACAGGGGAAGACACCACGGTCAGTGTTCTTCCTGGTCATCAAGGATTTGCTCAGGAAAGCATGAGCCACTTCAAGATCGAAAGACCAAGGCTCCCAAAGTTCAGTGGAGACATCCGTGAGTACTGCATCTTTAAGTCAGATTTTGAACATGTCATAGGTAGCAGATGTAGCTCCAGAGATGCTATGATGATTCTTCGTTCATGCCTTCAGGGCAAACCACTGCAACTTATCCAAGGTATTGGACAGGACTACGCGGCTGCCTGGGAGCAACTAGATACCATTTATGGGGATTCTAGATATGTGGCGGACACCATCATCAGCGACATATCTAAGTTTAGGCCACTGAAAGAGGGTGAAGATGCCAGGTTCTGCGACCTGGTCCATCTAGTAAGGAGAAGCTTCAACACCCTGAACGAGATCGGGAAGCAGAACGACATGAACAACAGTCACATGCTGGCCATAATAGAGAGAAAGATGTGTCCAGATGATCGGAGGTTATGGTTCCGAGACCAAGATGGCAGTTCGGAGACGACTCTTCATTCTCTAATGAACTGGATGGCGAAGGAGATGCGAGCTCGCATGAGGTCATCAGCTCCTCTTCGTAGTGAAGCCAAGTCCAGCATAGTGAACATGGTCTCCACGGCAGAGGAGAAACCATCCATGAACCAGTCCACAAAGGAGTTTAAGTGCTGGGTCTGCAAAAGTTATACTGGACATTGGACAGATCAGTGTAGGGATTTCATCTCCAAATCGGCACCTGAACGATGGGAGATGGTAAAGAGCAGTCGTGCCTGCTACAGCTGTTTGAAGAAAGCTGGACGAGACCACGTGATGAGTAACTGCAACAGGCGACGCCGTTGTAGTGAATCCAGGAACGGAGTGCAGTGCACATGGTATCATCATCCGTTACTTCATACTGAAAGGAGCATAGTTGAGGAAGGAGGATTGGTGAAACAAGTGGGAGTAGCTACGGTCATTGCAAATGAATGTCTCCTTCCCGTGACGATAGTGGATGTGATATCTAAACGAACTATGCAGCAAGGAAATCTGCTATTGGATTCTGGTGCTGAGATAAGCCTTATTCGTAAAGGTTTTGCAGAGAGGCTCAAGCTTAAGGGAACGCCAATAACCATAACAATGGTCAAGATTGGACGAGATGAGGAGGTTCTCCAAACTCTCAAGTATCGGATACCCATCAGAGAAGCAGGGAAAAGCACCATGCCTATTATGATTGACGCTATAGGCATACACTGCATAAGTGGGGACATTACAGCAGTAGACTTGGGCCTTCTATCGAAGAAGTTTGGACTGAAGGAGCAAGAGTTGAAGCGAGGTACTGGAGCAGTCGACCTCCTAGTGGGCATAGATCATGCCAGACTCCATGGCGGAGAAGTTAGAGAGGTTGGACATTTAGCAGCTCGCAGATCTCCAGTAGGATGGGTGGTGTTTGGGAAAGGACCCACTGACCGTGTCAGCTCCAGTTCAGTACTTCACATAAAGATCTCAAGTCAGGTGGATCTTTTACCAGATAACAAGATCTTGGTGACTACAGAAAAGAGACCGGAAAGAAATGAGAAGTATGCATCTGCATACAAAGAGCAGATGAGAGAAATGGAAGACCTGAAATTCTCCAGAAAGCTGTCGGAGGATGAGAAGGATGAGAAGGATGAGAAGGATTTGCAAGAGTATTCTGAGGTTAAACCAGAATGGAGCCTCAGCAAGAGAAAGATCTTGAAGCAGATAGCACAAGTATTTGACTCACTCAGCTTTGCAGCAGCCTTCCTGATCCGTGCCAAGATTGGGATACAGAGCCTTTTGGGAAAGGGCTATGACTGGGATGAGATGCTGCCAGAAGCAGACCAGAAGTGGTGGATAGCCTTTTTCAAGGAGATGAAGGAGTTAGATGAGGTTAAGTTTGAAAGAAGCCTCACACCATCAACAATGATTATCAATCATCCAATGCTGTGTAGATTTGCAGATGCATCCCAGAATGCTTTCGGAGCATGCGTCTATCTGAGGTGGCAGCTTGAGAACGGTGATTATGATGTCAGATTTGCAGATGTATCCCAGAATGCTTTCGGAGCATGCATCTATCTGAGGTGGCCGCTTGATAACGGTAATGATGTAATGGCCAAGTCCAGAGTGGCCCCATTAAAGAAGATGACCATACCCAGATTGGAACTACAAGCAGCAGTTATGGCTACACGACTCTTCACTACTGTCATGAAGGAGCTGAGACTGCAAGTTGAACAGGTGATGTTCATGACAGATAGCAGGATTGTTCTACCGTGGGTACGGAGGAAGAGAAAACGCTTTAAGACGTTTGTAGCAGTAAGGATAGCAGAGGTTCAAAGTCAGTCTGATCCTGCCCAGTGGAGATATGTTCCAGGTAATCAGTACCCTGCCGATGATGTGTCAAGAGGTCTTCCAGCAGCAAAGTTAGGACACAGATGGCAGCAAGGCTCAGAGTTCCTGTACTCTACAGAAAGTGAGTGGCCTCAGGATAGACACGGCAGAGTTGCAGCCACAACTGGGAAAGTGAGAAAGCAGTGTTGTATCTTGCAGGGACACAGACTTTTTAGAAGTAGCCAACCTGGTTAATCAACGTCCTATTGGTAGGATTCCTAACGACACTGATGAAGGAAGCTACTTGTGTCCAAACGACATGCTACTAGGGAGAGCTTCGCGCCAAGTACCACAGGGTCCATTCAAAAGTTCAGGAAATCCAAGACATCGAGTTGAATATGTTCAACAAATCGTCGACTCCTTTTGGCAACGTTGGACGAGAGATGTTCTACCTCTACTGGTGCCAAGGAGAAGGTGGAATGCAGACCGTCGAAATGTTCGCGTCGATGACGTCGTAATGTTAGCAAATGCTAATGCAGTCCGCGGAAAGTGGCTTCTGGGTCGGGTAATACAAGTGTACCCTGGTCCAGATGGGAGAGTTCGAAATGTTAAAGTGAAAACCGCTTCGGGAGAATACCGTCGCCCGATCGGCAGAATCGCTATTATATACCCTGCAGAAGGATATGAAGACGAGTGAGGTTTTTTTGTGTGTGCATTAATACAGAGGATAGCGGAAATTGATAGAAATGCATTTTGCATTCCAGTGAAGAGTTTAATTTGTGCAACACAGTTAAAAGCATAATTGATGGAAATTTCTTTTGAAATGAAGGTTATTTTTGATATGATAAGAAGCATATAGCAATTTTACACAGTTTCAGCAGCTTTACTCGCGACCTACTCTACTCGCGACCAGCTATATTCGCGACCAGCTATATTCGTGACCAGCTCAACTCGCGTTCAGATGTATTCGTGACCAGTTCTACTCACGATCGGTTCTACTCGTCTCGTGATCAAATTTATTCGCGACCATTTTAGCCGCGACAGGTTTTTCTTCTCGCGATCGGTTTTTTATCAACCAGTGTTGTTGTTTGTAAAGAATTACAAGATGTTTTTTTTTTGTAAATCGCTAGCATCATATGACTGAAGTTGACTTTAAAACAGTTTACCAGTGAATTTTTGCAACAATGACATTTATTGTAAACGTTTTTTCAGATAGTTGATTCAAAAGTTTATACATGTAATTGATATTACCTTCTGGCATTTTGATACAGATATTGATATATTGATTTATGTATTGAGGCAAGGCCTCATAGGCGGGGGGAGGATGTTTCGCTGACGAAACTGATTTTCATTATGTTTTTTGATTCGCAGATACCGTTACGTAATTCAGTGGTCAACGTGTACGTATGTGCTAATTAATGTAAAAACCGGCAGAGCACTATTGGGGTTTCATAGAGGTGACATCTTGCGATGTTCGCCTACTAATTTTTCGTGCAGAATGCCTCATTTCACAATGAGATAATTCGTATTTCAACAGTATATCCTGCCAAGAAGTGAGTACAGCTTGGTGTGAATGTGTTTTTAGAATGTTTTATGCAGACATGAAATTATGGATGTTTTCTTATTTGTTTGAAACGAAATGGAATTTCGCTCAGTGAAAGTGTACACGTGTAAAGTTGATAGTCTTGTGTGCAGAGCATTTAATATAAAGTAGATATTTGACATGTATTTGATACATTGCTAAGAATAAGCTGTATATAAATATTAAAGGGCATTATTTTCAGGGTTTATTGTAGCACTCTTGTATTTACAATTTACAGGGAAAAGGCTGATTTGGTGGTTTATTTATGGTCGTTTTGATAGACTTTCAATTAATCATTGGTCTGAATTAAGACTAGCTTTTGGTATTGCACACGGAGCTTGTTGTTGGCTTTTCAACTACACTAAGTCTTACAAAAGGGAATTTTAGGATATCTGTTATATTCTGGTGAAGCTATTTTATGACATTCGATGAAGTCATTTAAAGGGATTTCTGTATGGGTTTTAATATGAATATTAGTGACTTGAAAAGTGTGTCACATTTGTTATGAAGGTCAAGTGGAATTATTTGACCTTGTGGTGTCATTCATAAAACCTGAATGTTGAAGAGGGATATTTGTAGAAATGTTATGAAAGATATAAGATGCCATTTTGGTCATTTAGTAGTTATATCTATATTTAAATTAGAATAGTGCTTAATTATTCATGAGAAAAAGGATATTCAGGCAGATTTGCTTGTTCTGTTATAGAGGCGACATTTATACTTGAAACTGATATGAATGAGTCCAGTTGACTTATATAATTATGAATTCTTCAATTTGTTCTTTCAGATTGAATAAAATCAGACTACGGTCTTATACGATTCCAAGCGGGATATTCTGTGTGGCTGAGTCATCTTTCTTACGAGCAATCCACTGATCACATCGCCAATGAATGTCATTTGGCTCACATTGAACTCACATTTGTCTCTGTTGAGTTTGAGATTTGCTTCCTGAGCTATGTCAAGGACCTGTTTCAGTCTGGTGTCATGTTCCTGTTGGGTTGACCCCCATACTACTATGACATCCATCATTGTGTTGACACCAGGTATGTGTGCGAACAAATTATGCACAATCTTGTGGAACACTTCTGGAGCACTGCAGACCCCAAATGGTAACCTGAGAAATCTGTATCTCCCAAATGGCGTTATGAAAGTACATAGCCTTGAGCTTTCCTCATCTAGCTCTATCTGCCAGAAACCTGAGGACGCATCAAATTTGCTGAAGTACTTAGCTCCTGCAAACTGTGCTGTTATTTCATCTCTTGATGGTAACTGGTAGTGCTCTCTTTTTATGGACCTATTTAGATCTCTTGGATCGAGACATACTCGAAGCTGATTGTTTTTCTTCATCACCACCACGAGCGACGACACCCAATCACTTGGTTCATCCACTGGTGTGATAACTTTAAGTCGTTCCATTTTATCTAGCTCATCCTTGAGCTGATTTCGCAGTGGAAATGGAATTTTTCGACATGCATGTTGTACAGGTTGAGCATGTTCTTTTAGCGTGATATGATGCTTTCCAGGAACACATCCTAACCCTTCAAACACGTCTTCATAGTCATCTACTATTGCATACTTTGATTCTGTTTTGACATTCAGGACTCTCTTTACAAGCTTCAATTCCTCACATGCTTGTAAGCCTAACAATGGTTGACGATCACCAGGAGTTACTACAACAGCCATATTGTGAGTTAAACCTTTGTACTCCACTTGTACATAACAACGACCCTTTTAATACTGGAATTACTACTCCACTGTAGCCTGTCAATCTCACTCTAGCTGGATGCAGCTTTGGCCTGGGATTCAAACTCTGATACTCTGATTATGGGAGAAGGTTTATCTGAGCACCAGTATCTAACTTGAAAATAACCGGCCTATTAATAACAACTAACTTGACCTTCCACTCATCACGAGACTATAATGTTTCTACAACATCAACCATGAAATCATCTTCGACCTCGAAATTTTGCATCTCATTGATAACTTTACTCTTTGGAGTTTTACAACACTTCGCAAAATGATTTCCGAGACCACACTTTTTGCAAATTTGACCTTGAGCAGGGCATGCATTTTGACCATGCCAGTTTCCACAACTACCGCAACTATTTCTAGATTTCTGACCTTGTGTCTGATTTTGACTACGATATGGCCTTTGAGTTTGTTTTTGACCTATACTTTGCCTTGGATTTTGCCTTTGATTACCGTGAAACAACTTTCTCGTACTCCCAAGAGCATCAACCGAGACTTCATCCGTGGAACTCAGCTCTTTTGCCTGAGCTCGAGTAGTTTCAGCAGAACGACACAACTGTAACGTCTTATCTAGCGTCAAATCATCTTGCCTCAATAGGCGTTCCCTGACCATGGAGTTCACAATTCCACAGATAATTCTATCACGAATAAGGCTATCCTTTAAGTCACCAAAATCACAAGACTTAGCTCTATTGCGCAATTCAGTTGCATACTGATCTGTTGTCTCATTTTCGTGTTGTGACCTTGTGAAAATGTTGTGTCTCTCAAATGTTACATTACGTTTTGGCATGCAATAGTTCTCGAATTTCTTTAGTACTTTTTATAATTTAATTTCATCTCTGGTATCTTCCTCAAACTGGAAAGTATTGTAAATGTCAAGAGCTTCTTCCCCTATGACATGTAGGAGCATGGATGTTTGTGCTTTTTCTTCTTTCTGTGACATTCCACTGGCCACATTATACAATTCAAATCTTGGTTTGAAACGTTTCCAATTTTCTGCTAAGTTTCCTGTCAGCTCCAATGGCTGTGGTTGACTTAGAATTAGATTTGTTGCCATGTTTACTTATTTGTTTCTCTCTGAACAATGTTTAACCTCTTATTTACTATTGCGGTATCTTTACAACCTAGTCAAACTGACGAGACAAGCAATTTCATTGAGTTAAAACATGCCTACGCACTCATCGACATCGTACTGTTCTTTGGCCAGTAAGGAGTCACAGCGCGCTAGCCACATACACACAGTTTGCACACGCGGGACTGAGCCCTGCAATCTGGCGTAAAAATGGAAATCTTGCACCTTCTACTTCTATTCTGCTACTTGTCAAAGCCTGTTCAGCATCTAGACAAGGGAGATCTTCTTCCGACGGTGGACGGCTTGTGTGAATTTGTGCCGAAATATATACATGTTTATGATGCAAGTAAAATGATAAAAATCATAAAAATCATAAAAGATAATGATAATGCTGTGACTATTCGCAGCTGATGGCTTCCTTGAACTGCTTCAATGTGGGCAGCTCAATGATATTTGTAGGAAGCTCATCCCAGTCTTTCATGGTGCGAGGAAAGAAGCTGTATTTGTAAGAATCGGAGGATGTACCAAGTCTGGTGAAACGAAGATGATGTTGACTCCTTGTAGCTCTGTCTTTCTGTGAGATGTAATCTGGAAGAGGGATGGCTACCTGATGGCTACCTGATGGCTACCTGTTTATTCCTGGGTTCTGTCCTCCCTCAAAGTCATCATCTGTCCTTGATCGGGAAGACCTGACACCATGTTATATTTTGGTTATGGTTCTACTATATAAGTCATGATACGGAGGCTTGGAGGTTAATATTTACAGGTGTCTTTATTAGAACAATACTGTGTCATGATTCAATGTCATGAGCCATGTTGAGAACTGTAGTCTATTGTCAAGAATTACATAATATCAGCACAGGTTCACTCTAATTTGTTTACTAAATTGTATTTGTAGACTGTTTTCATGAGCTTGGTCTCGGTCGTGTTCACAAAGGTGTCTGTCATTTAATACCGTTTTGGGTTTTAAAATTGATTCAAGTTAAAACGAAAGATATTTGATAACGATTAATTTTGTCAATTGGCTTATTTGATCAAGCTTCAAATCGCAAAAAGGTATAGTATAAACGAAAGTAACCAATTAGGTGATGGGTTGAGATCAACATGTCAATTAGTGAAGTTAGAGTAAATGTTGGTTGGACTGTAGAAATTGAATTTAACATTGATAAGAAATGTGTTATTTACACCCCCTTTTGGAAGTATTTTGATTGGACTGTAGAAATTGAATTTAACATTGATAAGAAATTTGTTATTTACACCCCCTTTTGGAAGTATCGATAACGAAAGCAATTTTTTCTTAGAGAATAGGATATTGCTTTAGCTGCTGATGAGTTGGGTACCACTAGTGTCTTTATAGTTGGCGATTTGAATGCTGGCATTTCTGATCATGTATCACTTTCTGGCAAATCATTTGAAGGCCTTTTGTGGAAACAATAATGACATTATGTCAAGTCTTGAATTTTATTTGCTGATAGTATACGTATGTAAGCGAATTTTGGCATATTATGTTTTGGTTGGATCATTGCATTAGTACAGCAGATGCTCATGCTTTTATTGATGATATTCAGATAAAATACCAGTTTGATACATTATATTATATTCCAATTGGTATATAAATTGATTTAGGACACCTGCAGGGTCATATGGACACAGGGCAAATAATGTTAGAAAAAGGAAAGTTGGATAGGACAAAGATTGATAGTAGTCTGAAAGGTGAATATCTCAGTCAGAGTGAGATTTTGTTATTAAAGTCAAGTTAATTTGGATTATGATGCTTTTTTTTTTATGTAGAGATTTTAATTGTACAAATAGTGGTTATGTTGGGGACTTAGGTATTGTGTGTAACAAGATTGTTACTTGCAGCATGTGATTTTTTGCATAAGCGTATAGGAGTATTTTGCGTAATATTAGACTTGGCTGGCAGGCTCGAGAACACCCCTTTTGCGTTGGGTGGAGCTCGTAAAATCAAATAAGCATTTCGAGCTTTATATACTGCACATCTTGGAGTAGGTATAAAAAGAGCAGTATAAAGAAGCTAACGGTTGCCTATAATGAATACATGAGGATGCACTTACGAATACCTAGGCACTCTAGTGCAAGTAAAAGGTTTGCAGATGCGAATACACCTGCATGTCAAGCGGTTGTAAGAAATTTAATTTGCAAGTTTATTCAGAGATGTGAGATTTTAAAAAGTCTTTAATTGAATACGTGATGTACGTAAAATCAATATATACGAATTACCTTGGCACTCTAGTGCAAGTACAATTTTCGCAGATGTGAATATACCTGCTAACCTGCATGTCAAGCTGTTGGAAGAGCGTCCGCCTCACAACCGGGAGGTCGTGGGTTCGAAACCCGGCCGCGTCATACCAAAAGACGTTAAAAGATGGGAGTTGTTGCTACCTTGTTTGACGTTCAACAATAAGGGATAGAGCAACGTCGATATGGCGCTGCTCAGTGGCTGCCGGGCTCACGATCAATTGGGCAAAAAGAATTTCCGTTTCGGTTTAATAAAATTTGGGGTGGACTATTAGGCTATCATTATTATTATTATGTTAAGCTGTTGTAAGAAATCTAATTTCAAGTTTATTCTTATAAAAGTCTTGAATGGAATACGTACTGTACGGAAAGACAATATATACAAATACCTAGGCAATCTAGTGCAAGTAAAATGTTTGCAGATGTGAATATACCTTCATGTCAAGCTGATGTAAGAAATCTAATTTTCAAGTTTATTTAGAGAAGTGACACATATACAAATCTTGAATTGAATACATGATGTACGTAAAACAATATAAACGAATACCTCGGCACTTTAGTGGAAGTAAGAGGTTTGCAGACGTGAATATACCTGCATGTCAAGCTGTTGGAAGAAATTTAATGCTGAAGTTTATTCAGATAATTGACGCTGATAAAAGTCTTGAATTGAATACGTAATGTACGTATAAAGCAATATATACGCTCAGTTGCGGCGGGCGGTGCCCGTGTGGCGGAAACTGTCATTTTGCCTCTTCGCATATATATATGTGTATATATGTTAATACATACAAAGGGTATTATATGTAATACACACTGCTGCAAAATACCTCATGGGAAGGTTGTGTTTTTGAGAATATGAATTGCATTATTTTAATTGGCCATTGTATCTTGCAGAGCTCAATTGGTTTCCGGTGGGGCCCCGATGACGGCCCGATGATAACAGGCATTCCGTCCTGTCGTTTGTAAATTAGGCATCTGTTTGTATGCAGATCGAGGGGTGTTCTACGTTTACCCTGTACTCGCAGTTTTAAATGAGAAGGTCATACTGTTCTCCTGTTTAATGCAGGGAACAGTGTCGCCTTTTTACGGGCTGTGTGTGGGGGGGGGGGGGTGTACACAGTCTCGTCTGTTGGTGGCCTCGATGCAGAGAGTACTTTGGATTGGACATGGTAGCTCCATGTTCCAGTGTTTTTAGGTGCAGATACTTGTATAAATTGATAAAAAGATTCGAAAATAATACCCGGGTCCTTCCCTGGGGCGGATTGGAGCAGTGTAAAAGTATTCTATATTCAGTTGGGAAAGTTTGTGTCCTAGTTGTTGCTATTGCCATGATGTTGATATTCAGGGTTACTAGATTCCATCCTCTATTAAATCTCAAGTACCCGCAAAAACGCATTCCGTTTCATTTTGTTACTGTGAATGTAAAAAATATCAGTGAACTGTACATCCCCTCTTCAAAGACGTACAGATCGTTACTAAAACAACAATAATGATAATAATCATCTTAAAAAAGTGATAATTATGAGAAATATGATATATATCCCTCTAAGATACATAACGTGGACATCATAAGAATCCTAACCCTAATCCTACCCTAACCCTTAAACCCTAACCCTACAACCTGTCTGTATAATTATTGTCTT